CTCCTCGGAAGGAAGGTTGGGCAATCCTACTTCCGTAGTGATACTGCCTCGGAAACCCAAGGAGGGGTCGCTATGAGTCGGGGCCGACTCGATAGCAAATAACAACAACAACAACAATACATATTTGCTGAATGAACAACTCTAAATCTCTAGTTGAGCTAAAAGACAGGGTCAGTTTATCCTTTGTAACACTAGTTGGTCAATTCATGTCACTAGTTCAACTGTTATCTCTACCAGAACAAGCAACACACTGACCCAGAGAGAACAAAAGAAACTGTATTATTGCTTGTTTAATTGTATTTTGTACTTTGTTGCCTTAACTATCTGTCCCGACAGGCCAAGAATAAGATTTCCATGATCCATCTTTAAGTGACTAAAGCAAGTTACATAAAACATAAAAATACTGAACCAAATTTTAACCTGATCCTTAAAATACACACAATATATTAAGTGGGATCTACGTGTTACAAAAAAATATTTGGCAGAATATAAAGAACATAGATTGGGAACCATAATAGCTAGGTTTCACAAGGTCTACAATGTTCTGTTTATGTGATCACTGAGTGTAAGTTTCTTCTTCTAAACTATTATTACTACCTACCTCTCAAGGTGGCTGACATTTAAATACACTAATGTATGTAAAATACTATGTTAATGGTTTCACTATTAATTCTCAAACCAAAAGAAACCTCACTTTTAGTGATCATTGTGTGTATATATTATAAAACTACGCAGAAATGACTTAGATTCTCTAGGCTCTCAATACTTAAACTTTATCCTAAACTTGGATGTGAAACACTGAGTGATCAAAGTTTAATATACATTAAGGCATTTCCCAAAACTGTAAGAGGCAGATTATTTTACCTCCTCTGGCATTTGAGAAACTACTGAATAAGAACAATTAATTAGCAATGAGAGATAGGGATCAAATTAACAACAGCAACTCAGTAGATTAGATGAAAACCTTAGGGGACACTGAGTTTATGTTAATGTACAAATTGTTGAACTGTTTTATGTTTCAGTGTATACATTCTTAACAACAACAAAGTAAATAAAATTCAGAGGAGAAAAAAAAAGAAAATCACATCAGGATTAGTTTTTAGATGGTCAAGGAATTATAGTTCTACAAAGTAAGAAATGACTACTCTTTTACCATGAATTAAGAGTTCAGAATCCTTGTTTAGCTCATAAAGCCTAAAGGCTTCTTCTAACTCCAACTGAGATGACACGGTACACGGGTCACCTAAAGAATACAAAAAAAAAAATTTTATATATACATAGAGACATATTTTATAAGGACAAATTTTTAGATATTTACTTAGAAAATGCTATTTTCTAAAGTAGGTGGCATAACTTCCATTTCTATTTCTACAAAATATTACATGAAGTTCATAGATACCAAATGTTATACATTTAAAACCATTGTATTATATTGTTTTTCTGGGTTATTTTATTTTTGTGGTGAAATTTACATCAAGTTAGGTTCCTATTTGTGCTCAAGCATTCATTTTTACTTTGGTTGTGCTGTGCTCATTACATCCACAGTTGGTACCACTTTTCCCATCATCAAAAATAACAAGTGTGTACAATCTAAAGTGTACTTTCCCCTTTCCCCTTCCTCTCCCTGTAACTATAATAACATCAGTCTCTCTGTATATATCTATACTTGTCTTCTTATAAACGAGGGATTGTACAATAGTTGTCCTTATATGCTTGACTTAAGGAGTGAGATTGTTAGAACATAGGGTAGTAAAACCATTTTATTCCTAATACTGTATATATTTAAAATACAACAAACAGAATCTAACATAAAAACATTTTAAATTATCACTGCAATATGACTAATGTTTATGGCCAGGAACAAACTTTCCATTACCAGTTTCTTTGAAAAAGTAAGTGAAAATAATCTCATTACCACTGTATCAGTGGTCAGAGGTCTCTAGGTAATCATTATTAGATTTTGCCAAAATTTTCCTTTCATATAAGAGGCTGCTCAAAAGGATCACAGAAAAGAAGTACAATGACTAAAGTACTCTTGATTGAAGAAATAGTCATACTGGAGCTGCTTTTAAAATAAATGCATAGTTTCACTGAATATTCATAGTTTGGCCAACTAGCCAAAGAACTGAGTCATCCTTGGCAATCGATGAGGTGGCACATCTTCCTGGATGATGGCATTCTTCAACGAATAGTCATCTAGAACATAGTTGGGGCCTGAGCTGGGTCACCCACACTGCCAATGTTTTGTTCATTCCTGTGGTTACTTAAACTTTATCACATACTAGATACTACATACTATCTAAAACTCAATCACTCTTTACAAGAACTACTTGACAGAGAACAAGGAAGTCTTTTCCTATCTCAAAAAAAAAAAAAAAAAAAAGAGTGCTTCTATTCTTTTCTCCAATCTTGGCCATTGAATCCTTATTATTATTATTTTTTTAATTGTGATTTGGTTGAAAATTTACAGAACAAATTCACTTTCCATACAGCAGTTCACATATACTTTGTCTCATGTCATTGACCACAGTTTACCACAATGCAACAGCTCCTCTCCACTTCCTCCCGATAGTTACCTCTTTCCAGTGACCATCCCTCCATACTCTCCTGTCCCCTGAGCTGTCTCCCTGTGCATAAGCAGCCCTTCCTTCTCCCATGAGTGTTCTCTCCAAGGAGTGTTTCTACCTCAGGTAAATGTTCAACTCATATCTATCTATCATATGTCTATCGTTTGGCTGGAAGCCACAGGTGTGGGTTCAATTCCAGACCTAAAGGGCAGCTAGGGGCCATAGTCTCAGTGGTTCCACCAGTGAACCCCTATTTTTTAAATCTTCTCTGGGAGTTACTCCATTACTCCTTCTCATTCCTTCTACAACTGTCTCCATAAATATATGTATTTCTTGGATTGTCTGAATCAAGGTCCAAACAACATTCACATAATGGTCTTTTACTCTACAGGTTCTCCCTCCTTTTTTTCCCCATTCATTTTAGTATGTTGAAGAAACGAGGTCATCTGTTCTATAGAGTTTCCACTATCTGGATTTTTGTATTTGCATCCCTGCAAAATTTTGTCATTTAAAATATTTCACTGTCCTCCTTATTTTTTGTATAACTCACTGCTGTCGAGTCAATTTTGACTCATAGAGACCCCTCCTTGGGTTTCCGAGGCAGTATCACTACAGAAGTAGATTGCCCAACCTTTCTTCTAAGGAGTGGTTGTTGGGTTTAAACCGACAGCCTTCTTCTGGTTAGCAGTCAAATGCCTTACTTAGGCACTACACCACCAGAACTCCTATTTTTTGTATACTAGTAGTTAAAATCAAAGGTTTAGGTGTAGCAAATTTAGCGAGAATACTTCACAGATATTATTACACACTTCCTATTGTATCACATCAGAATACCTTCCAACAGTTCTTCTCAGACTCTTGCTAGCTATGCCAAAGTTGGTGCCTTGGCCCTCCTCACTCACATACCTTCTATGTCTTCCTGAGTAAATCAATCTCAACTACTCCCACTAGAGTAACTATCATAGACAGTCTTATGGTTCCCAAATCCTTATGTCTCTACTGGCCTTGAGATCCATACCCATATTTTTAATTCCCTCTCTCATCACTTATATACTGTCCAGGTACTTCTCAGGCCCAAGATGTACAAAATATTATCTCTCACCTAAACTATGACACTTTCTTCTCATTTTCCATCTTGGGTAATGGTATCAAAATGAATTAGATGCCAAATTACAAAAGCTCCAAGTCACCAATCACCAACGAACCCAAGCCAAAATCTGAGTCTTTCTAGATAACAATTAATTTTCCCTTTCTTCTTAAAACTAAACCAGTCACTGAGTTCTAGTATATTGTAGTAGATTCTACAAAATCTGCAATGGATATGACTGTGGTATATCAGTTCCATTCTTTACATATCTACTATAATTATCTAAATCAGAGGGTCATCTTTTTCAAAAGAACTATTATACTATACTCATAACTGGATTCTCTACGTCTAATTCTCTCATTAATCCTCTCTCTAAATTGCTAAATTCTCTCTCTAAATACTAATCTCCCACTTTAAAACCTTTACTGGCTCCCCAATTCCTTTATAATGTACTTGGAAATCTTCAGCATAGCATTCAAGTTGCTTCAAAATCTTGCCTTTGAGTCCCAATTCAGGGCATAAACAAACTACTGAATAAACACAAATACCAGAAAGCAAAATAGATGAATGCACATCCTAAATATTAGATGCTTATGTGCATTAAAATATTTCACCAAAAGAGTGAAAAAAGAAAACCCACAGACAGTGAAAAAAATTTTGACTAGAACTTATCAGACAAGGGTCTAAACTCTAAAATTTATAGGGAATGTCAACAACTTAACAACAAAAAGGCAAATAATCCAATTAAAAACGAGCAGAGGACATGAAGAGACATTACACCAAAGAAGACACTCAGGCAGTTACTAAACACATGAAGAAATACTCATGATCATTAGCCATAGAGAGATGCAAATAAAGACAATGAGATATCAATCATTTCACCCAGCACTAGCAGCAAAATTCCAAAAAAAAAAAAAAGAAAACAACAAATGTTGGCAAGGGTGTGTAGAGACTGGAACTCTTATATATGGCTAGTAGGATTATAAAATGGTATAATCAGTGTGGAAAATGGTATGGCACTTCCTTAAAAAGCTGGCAGAAATTCCATATGATCCAGCAATCCCACTATCAGGTATATATCCAGATATATAAGAGCCATGACGTGAACAGATATATGCACATTGATATTCATCGCAGCACTATTCAGAATAGCCAAAAGATGGAAAAACCTAAATGCCCATCAACAGAGGAATGTATCAATAAACTATGGTACATACATACAACGGAATACTATGCAACATTAAAAACAAAGAATGATGAATCTGTAAAGCACCTCATAGCATGTATGAATTTAGAGGCCATTATGCTGAGTGAAGTTAGTCAATCACCAAAGGACAAATACTGTATTATATCATTATTGTAAAAAGTCAAGAAAAAGGTTCACAAAAAAAAGAAATATCCTTTGATGGTTACCAGGGACAGGTGGGGAAAGTAAGGTAGACTACTAACTAGTAAATAAGATACATATGAAGTTGGGTGAAGGAATTTTTTTTTTTTTTTCCTTAAAAAAAGTCAATGAAATAAAAATTGTCAAATTTGCACAGGGGAAAAAACCTGCCTTTCCTGCATATTCTGTAATATGAATAAAACTTAGGACAGATTCAATAGAGGGCAATATGGTATTATCTTTTCATTTAAAAATGTTTTAACTTTTAAGTCAGCAATTTTACCATGAAATATAATTACATATGTGGAAAATGACACTTATATAAGAAAATTCATAACACTTTAATTGTAAAAGGCTGGAAATAAACTAAATGTGCATCAGCAGTTTATGCAGGCTTTAAAGACAACGTGGCAGCTCTATATATACTGAAGTTCAGTTAAAAAAAATCAAAGTATAGAACAGTGACTGTTGTCTGCTGTATGGGGGTAAAGGGAATAAAACAGACATGTGGAATGTGTTTACAGATGAGTTTGAACTGCCAGCCTTCTGGTTAGTGGTCAAATACCTTAGGCATTACACCACCAGAACTCCTTCATCTATTATAGGTGTATCTTTTATTATTATATTTTGATTAAAAGCTACTGAATTAACTATCATTAAAACTTTATTTACAAAAACCTCTTTTGTTGGGCATTATATCTTTTTATTTATCTAGTCAGCACTTGCTTGCTTTTGGTTTCCAGGTCAAGTACTGAACAACCACAAGGAAATGTGAAAGTATGAATTAATCACTGACATTACGTATGTTCACATTTATTTTGTTTTTATTGGACTGTCTTTGGTTCAAGTATTAATTATTTTGGCCAACTACCTAATGCCTGATAAAGCAGGATGCATACCTCAGAAGTCACACATTCCATGCAGGGTCATCATGAAACAAAGCTGAGGGAAGAAGCTCTTTCTCAAAGCCCATTCTATTACTAACACCTGAATTCCCATCCTAAGGCAGGAATACATCCAAAGTCACTGCCCACCGTAAGGTAATAAAATCTGCAGACAAGATGGGGAGCATGAAATACATATATAACACTAGTTACATTTAGTTATTTCATCAAATGGTTGAATTCAGTGCCCTATATTTGAAAGAATCAACAAGGCTTTAAAATCAAACCTGGCAACCTATAACATTTATCTGAAACAGC